TAATATTTACTCAAATAAATAAAATACTTATAAATAAGAATTGCACACACACCTAGTACTCATCCCTACTCAAACCTGGAGGAAGCAGTGGATGACGGAAGGTTGGGTGACGAACGTAGCTATGACATCACTCTTTTATCATGTTTTCGGACAGAAGAATGAGAGTGCCTATACACACTCATTGATAAAACAGAAAGGTTTGCATAAATGAACCGGATTTTTTGATCTAATAGTTCGACTTCAAGTCTTAAATGCTTGAGTGAGATAATCGGAGTTTCGAATTCTATCATCGTCATAAATTTCATTAAAAAGCGACTTAATGATCGTGCGCTTTATCTGAAGGGGTAAAATATTCACTCAATTTAGGAATCGAATCCTTAATTATTAACAACTAATTCATACTAATTTTCTAATTATTACTCTTGTTAAAAAAAAGAAAAAGAAAGGTTTGCATAAATAATTTATTGGTTTAAGTAAAAAGAAATTCATCTTTTATAAAATAAAATTTTAAATTAATGAAAAAATTAATATTAAAAAAAACTTTTTAATGAATTCGATATAATTTTATTTCGGATTAGTTGAATTTAAAAATTTTTTTGAATACCGAAAAATTAATAAAAAAATTAAAAAAGGTTTGCGTAAGCCATGATGCAAATGCGCGCCTGTGGTTTGTCTTTTGTGAGCTGAAAATGCCCAATTTTGAATTTTCATTATCGGAGTTATACCGGGAGCTTTCAATGCACACGGCTCCCCGTTGAAGACCTGACAAAAATTCACTTTTATCCTTTTATTTTATTAAATTTAAAAATTTTAGTCAAATCATTTTATATTATAATATTTTTATTTTTTTATCTTATTAAAATTATAAGTTTTAATCTCTCACTTATTAAAATTAAAAAAAATAACTCTTAGTTTAGACTGATTATTAATTCTATTAACTAAAAATATATTTTTATTAATTAACAGTCAACTAATAATTAATTAATAAAATTAACGAAATATTATAAAATTAATTTTATTAACTCTATTAAATGAACGAAAATTTTTAACAGTTAATAGTCAGTTAACAATTAATTAATATAGTTGACAGTCAACTAATATAACTAATAACATATTATAAAATGAGAGTTATGTTCTTTAATTTTAATAGGTGGAGAGTTAAAAATGTTCTAATATAAAGTGAAAAACTAAAATTTTCAAATTTAACCAGATAAAGGTTAAGAGTAGAGTTTTACCTGACGGCAACCAAACCGGCTCTGCTTCTGCAATTGCCACGGTAAAAGAAAGAATAATTCATTTCGTCTTAGGAAAGTTGGTAGTCATAAAATTCTTGTTCATTGCTTGCTATACTGACTTTTGAGTATTTTTCGTTGCTATGAATCAACATTTCAAGTTTCAACCCCTTTTTTTTCTCCTATGGAATTTACTCAATTTAAAAAATAATAATGGATGCAAGAAAACTTTGTTGAAAGTGTGTACTGCATGCTGTATTGAATGTTCATGCATGCCCATACAAATTCATGTGAAAAAATAGAAAAACTCTAAAATTACTTATGTTTTAAATCAAATAAATTAAGTTTGTTAAAATAATTTTA